CCGGGCTCTTCCTGTTTCATTGCAGGTTATGATATGTCTAAGGTATTATGCCAGCGGTAGTTATATGTCGGTCATCGGTGATGCTAATGGAGTCAGCAAAATGGCTGTAAACAATATCGTCTTCACTTGCACGACAAAGTCAACGACATATAGAGTTTCCCATGGATGCCCAGCGCCAAGTCAGTTGAAAAGAGATTTGTTTGCAATTAGGGGATTTCAAAATGTCCTAGGATCAGTTGATGGGTCATTAATCCCAATATCTACCCAGACGGATGATGAACATTTGTACGTGTCCCGAAAAAGGCTTTCATGCCTTGAACATTCAAGGAGTATGTGATGCCAACATTTTATTTTTGAATGTTGTAACTAAGTGGCCTGGTGCAACACATGATGGTCATATATGGAACAATTGTGGTCTAAGTGCTTCCTTTGAAGCGGGCACACTTGCAGGTGGTTGGCTACTTGGGGACAGTGGTTATGGACTTAAACCTTGGTTGCTGACCCCTAAACAGAATCCTCAAACACGAGGAGACAGGCGCTACAATGTCTCTCATTGAGCGTACATTCGGAATATGGAAAATGAGATGTAGGTGTCTTCATAAAAGTCTTGTGTTGGCGCCTAAGAAAGGATGCAATGTCCTCGTTGCAACAGTAGTTCTGCATTACATATGCATTAGGAAGCGAATTCTGTTGCCCCAAGACAATGATGAGGAGGACGATGATCCAGGCGACAATGTAGGTGAAGACTTGGGAGCAGATTGTAATTCCGGTATCGGAGTGAGAGATCAGCTGATTGAACAGGTGTTCTCTAATGCCTAGACATTATGACAAAACTGCAAAACTTTCATAACAAATGTGTTTATTTCAATAACAAAAGTTGTGTCAACCTTACATATTAACAACTGAAACAAAATAAAACAGCATGAATTGTTCGATAAAGTAAGATATTTGTTTGTGGTTTGATATAATAAAATTTGCAAGATAGTGATGTTTTTCAACAGTTGTCATGGATAAAAAAAATCTCACTATAATCTTCCTTTTACAATATCCACTTTACATAGTTAATAAGGTTCCCCAGTTCGTGCAGTTTTTTTCAGTTGTAAATGACAACAGCATTTCGAAAGCATCCTGTATGTTCTTAAGAACACATTTTGAAGGTAATATTTCGAACATCAAAAATAGACAGAGGGGCAAGGTGGTTACTATAAAGGCACTCAAAGATTCGGCGCCATAATGAGAGTAATATTTGATGACGTTTAATGAAATTCATTAACTATCAAAAAGGCATTATTGCACTACCCGTGCAGACAAACAAACTTTATTATTCTTAAAACAATGGAATGTATATATTTATATATGTCGTTTAAGGAGGTTCGGCAATAGAATTGGTGTATATTTTTACTAAAATTACCTCAAAGAGGGGCACTTTTTTAGAGCAGGGCCAGGGCCATTAATTACGGCAAATACTGTATAGTGTATCATATTTCAACACAAACTGTTTTAACGTTTTTCTTCCTAAATCGGATTTAAACACACACTTCTTCATAAAACTCTACTTTAGTCAACGACATGTTTTTCGAAACCATTATTCCTTCACTTCCAAGCAAGCAATAAGAATTTCTCGAAACTGGCGAGTCAGATGCTGGTGAACATATGGAACAAAGCGACACCACACGTGTTGAGCAGTCTGAATCCTCTTCTTCACTGATTGATATATCCTTGTCCTCGAACATGTTGCTCTTGTCACAGAGCATCTCGTAGTACCATCTCAGGTTAATGCCATATTTCAAAGGGTCATTTGCACACTTCTGCTGCAACCTGTAAACATTCAATGAATACAAAATTTAGAAAAATATCCAGTGGATATATATAAAAAAACATGTACGCACACAGATAAACATACATATGAAGTTTCATCAAAATCCTTCAAGTTGTGCTAGAGTGATGACAAGGATGTATGATAGACCACCCTCAGCTGGATTATTTTAATCATATACCTTTGACCTAGTAGTACTACATCGTTATCAAGGAGGGCTATCCTAAGCTTTTCAATACATTCGTGTATCTATACATGTGAACTCCTCCAAGCTATACAAACTGTAAAAATATGTACTTGGGTATACAAATTAAATAGTAGACGAGATGGGGCAAAACAGAGAATGCAAATGAGAAAGTTTCCAGAAATTAATCCGCAACTTATGTATAGTGTAAGTATTATCATGATATTATGTATAAAATAAATTGTTAACAACCAAGAGAAGACCCTTTTTATGTTTTAACGTTGTAATAAAGCCAAGAATTGACGTCAGTTTTCATTTTTATATAAAAATAATGAATTCGATTAGATACAATAGGGCATAATGGGGAAATGCAGCAGTTGAGTAAAAGTATTGCAAGTATATGTTGAAGTGACTAGTCCCTACCTGGTTTAAATAATGTCATGACTACATATTTGTAGGGTGTAGTGTGTAGTCACCATCTGTTGGTACATGTACATATGAAAGTGTTGATGTGCTGCCACGGTTAAACGAACTTTTGGTCTTCCTCCATCTAAATTAGTCAAAGCCGAAGGAAAATCCCTGTTAGGAAATTCTTTTAGTGTCTTTAAGATTTCCTTTTCAATATTCAGACGTTGGATCTCAATATCAAGTCGGTCGCGCTCAATGGTTAGACGGGTTTCCTCAACAGTTAGCTTTCTTTCTTCCACCTTTTATATATCATAATTACTTGTGGAATCATCTGGAAGAACGTTAACTCTAGATTTCTTTCTTTTCCTCGTGGATGAACATGAAGGTGAAGGAGTTTCATCGCGAGCTGACGGAACGTCTGACGGTTTGGACATGCAACGTGTAGGATCCACTTCATTCTGCATTTGCACGTTATCATCGTCATCATGACATATTTGCCTACTGTCATTTGACTCGAGATCTTCCTCACACTCCAGAGACCTAATACAATAAATAAAAACAAATTGTGTTGACGGTCAGGTATAGAAATATGTCTTTCATTTTAAAAACATCACTTAAAATAAACCTGATTGCGACAAGTTTTATATAATTATCTTAAACTTGACATTTTGTGCTTTGCGACCTCTGGAGAATGGAATAAACGGATTTTAAGCTTTTTTTACACCTATTTATAACATTAATTTATTAACTCTTGTGTATATTTTTAAAACATTCAATTTTATAAACCAAACAAATCATAGAAATCATTGTACATATTTGATGGGAACATTATATTGCGGTATTAATTGACTTGTCAACGGACGTAACTTTGACTTTTGAAAAATACGTTGTCAAATAATGTGTCATTTTTCCAGCAACATCATTTTTTGTTTATTTCAAATTTCCCATATTTTACAAAACAATGTCGTGATTGAAGTAGATGTTGTTTTATTCACGTATTTTATAAACTACTCAAAATTTTACCACATGTTTCTGGAGGAATGTTGTGAATCTGTGTCTCCAACGTCTGCATCAAGGCCATAGACGTACGTGGTTCCCAAAATCCCAACAACCCGTTCCTCTATTTCAGATGGTTCATCCTTTTCCGGAGGGGGTCCACCACCCGTTTGCTTTCTTTCTCGAGTAAACTTTGGTCGTTTTCCTTTCACAATAGAACTCCAATCATGCCATTTTTTCTTAATGTCATCGTCTGACCTCTGCGTGAAGCTGACAGCACTGACATCTGCAGCAATGGATTTACACACTTTCTATTTACGTTCATTTGTTTTAGTGTCTGAAAATTTTCCAAGCAAAACATCCCGGTTCGCTTCGATTCCTCGCAGCAGTATTTCCAATTCTTCAATAGTATAGTTTGGCTTTCTTTTGCGGTTTGCTTTTGGCATACATGTAGCTGCCATGATGATAATTCTCAATACAAAACCCCTTAGATTTCTGCCTAGCCGCCGTTTTGTTTTTACAGGTGTCAAACATACGCTTACTATTACATAACAAAAGACCATGTATTACAAACGCAGCGAGGACGCTGTGATAAATAAACCCAGCAAAATGGAAAGCGGTGAAGGGAATATTCCGGAAAAAAATCCGCTAATATCGCCTTTCGTACGTACGTTTTGAAGTGAGGTTTACGACTAGAAGAGCCACTTACGAACGGATTACAGTTACACTCTTACCAGAAACTTTGTGTCACTTTAAATCATTCCGTAAATATATAGTTAAAAACAATGTTTCAGTTACAGGCCCCAGGCCTATAAAGAAACCATCTTCAACTCTGCAAAGCCCCTCATTAGTCGCCTCTTACGATCGTCCAGTTGGATACAATAAGCTTAAAAAGCCTATCGCATCTGATGAATAACTTGAATACGATAAAGCCGAAAACATTGCCTGTAAAGAAGTTTTTGGAATAAAGATTATGCAAGATTCTTAAAAATGTGGAACGCTTTCTTTGCATCAATTTTGCAAAGTGGCGTTAAGGCAAAGATTGCGGTCGCTGTTTCTTCAGGGCACCGACTTGTTTTTTATTCATAATATATATTTAAGCAATAAACTGCATATAGCGCGCACCATTCAGTTTGTGTGTGACACATGTGGCAGTTATACCAGTTGGTCTGCCATATCTATGCAGTTTATTGCTTATATTTATGTTTTCGTTATGAGAATTTGCAAAAAATTATGTCTTTTTCAATTCTCAAATTTCCCACTTATTATCGTCAGTTCAGGTCAATATCTAGAACGGCACAAAGATAACAGCTGACGTCACGCGCTATTCCATACAAAATTGAAAAGACTTAAAACGCAACTTTCGTTAATAATTTATGTTTTTAATTTATATATAACATATTCTCAATTCACAAAACAGTAACAAATAACATTTTGTTAGTAACTATTCAAGTAGTTAAAACATTTTCCGACCTATATCCGGCGCACGCACTCAACGGAAGCCCGCAGTAATCAGGTCAGAGTTATTTGCAGTCCGGCATGTTGTTGATGTTGATCGTGCAACCGGAGAAAGTTGAATTGGTGAAAAATCCAGGCGTAAATTGTTTGTTGATCTCACAGACACTTGAGACAGGGAGCTGGTGTTCGGAATCAAAGCAGTAGATACCGGTAAGTTCGGTAGTGACACTGCACCTATGATCACTCATGTACATGATATGTCGTGCCTCATACCCTTGCTCGTTCCGGAACTGTATAGCTGTTGCTCGGAGACAATGAGGGGTGTAATTTTTGTCGATCTTGGCGGCCACACATATGTTGGACATGAATTTCGCGAATGTTCGTTTTGACAAATATTTATTTGTGTACCATATTGCCGATTCGCTCGGTTTTAGTACTGCACTTTAGTTAAATTGGTTAAACAAACTCGTTGCAGTAGGGTTTGTTTTTTCAATGAGTCTTTTTATCATTTTGACTGGACACTTGCTGTAACCGTACAATTTCCGAGACTTTCTGCAAGTTGGTGGACAGGAACCATTCCCATATCCAAGTGTGCTCCTGTTGTCTCCTTGTTCCATTCTGATAGCAAAAAAACAAAAATATGAAAGGGTTGGAACACGAGACATAAAGTCTGCAGAATTGTTTTCATTATAATTAAACAGAGGCCACCACTTGAACTTACTGCACCTTTTTTTATTTAACAACCACTGATGAATTGAACTTACTTTTCATTTTTTGTACCAGTTGAGACCTTTTTTGATTGCTTTACATTTGATTGCAACAATAATGCGTCTTGATTGCTTGAATGCTGCTGCAACCAGATGTACACAATATCATATTCTTCAAAAAAGTTCCATTTGTTTGGACTATAGTCAGACATTTTGTTCAAATAATGAATTTTGAAGTGGTCTGTCCAGTTTTATATCTATCGTATTTACATACTCAGTGTAACTTATCAATTTCTGCAAATCAATGAGGCCTTCTATATATATTTAATCCGTTTTCAACAATTAAAACAAAGCAAAACTGACTCTTTGACTTGCTGTTACAGAAAGAAAGCGCTCCATTAGATTAAATTAATTTTACACTGAGAGCAATAATTTAAAATTTTGCCTACCTTGAAATTTTTCAACCCCCAGGCTGTATTTTTTAGTGCTTGGTGCTTGTCTTTCCGCAAATAATTGCTCCAAATCATGACTAAAAACATTTGAGAATCTAGGTTTCTTGGCTTCAGGTTCCTGGTCAAATTCTTCAGTTTGATGAGTATTATTTTGATCAGGTTTTAGTTTTGTTGGAGGGTTGACAGTATCAATGCTGCTTATTGCTTCGTTCAACCATTCTGATATCTCGGTTGGTACTACCCAAAGAAGTTCTGTCATGCTTATTGTTGCCAAAATAGTATCATCATCACTTGGTATTCCATCTTGATCACTTTCTTGTAAACAAACATGGAATTTGCAGATTAAAGTTTCCAAGCTCTTGATGCTCAGCCATCTCAGCAGCAGCAGTAGCAGATGACAGTATATTTACCCAGAACCCATCATATTTTTTTTTTTTTTTTTTTTTTTTTTTTTTTTTTTTTTTTTTTTTTTTTTTTTTTTTTTTTTTTTTTTTTTTTTTTTTTTTTTTTTTTTTTTTTTTTTTTTTTTTTTTTTTTTTTTTTTTTTTTTTTTTTTTTTTTTTTTTTTTTTTTTTTTTTTTTTTTTTTTTTTTTTTTTTTTTTTTTTTTTTTTTTTTTTTTTTTTTTTTTTTTTTTTTTTTTTTTTTTTTTTTTTTTTTTTTTTTTTTTTTTTTTTTTTTTTTTTTTTTTTTTTTTTTTTTTTTTTTTTTTTTTATCATTTTTGGATATTTTTTCAAATTTTACTCTTAATGTTATTATTTGAAAAAAAAAAAATACTGCTAGAAAATTAGTCAGAAAATATTTTATTAAACATTTTCACATTTTTCTAAATTCTCATGTCAATGTACAGTTGTGGGACCGCACAATGTACCAAAAATAGCGTGCGCACACCGTGCATACATCGTTCACACACCGTCCGCACATCGTCCACCCATGGTGCGCACAACTGTGCGATTTAGCAATCGTTCGCCCCGTTGTGCCCTTCTCTCCGCACAACTGTGCGATTTGGTATCATTTGTAGATCAAAATTACGGAATGACAAAAATACGGAAGGCTTGTATGCGATAATGTACACTGTGTATATATCTGTAATTTCTCATCACAATAATCAAGATTATGCAATTTCACAATGCGTGTTTACACAGTATTACAGCGACCGTTAGGCTGTCAAGAATGGGTTTGGCTCCAAGGTAACCGAACAGGTAAATAACAATTTTATGAGTGTCAAGAGTTTTACCTGACCAGTGCCTGACACACAGAGCTGATATGCGATACCGTTTGACCGTAAAGAATAGTATTTGTTATTTGCATTCGTTTGCCTATAGCTCCCCTTCACCTGGATTTTCACACACCCGGCCTTACCCGAAGAGTTACGTAAGTGCCCCAGGCGGGAAGAAAACTACGGTCCAGGTACATGTACAAAGTGGTTATGTTTATCTGTATACGGGATCGTGTTGTAATTTTACATGTGTCGGTTAAGATTGTTTAAAAACACAGCAAACACAATTTCTAAATATAAGAATTTATAGACAGAAAGATAAGTTTATAGATGTTGCTAGAATATAGAAACATACGTAAACATCATCGTCCAGCTTTTTATCGTTAGCCCATCGTTCACACACCGCAGATCGTGTAACGTTGTGCGATCCCACAACTGTAAATTGACAATGTATGGCAGCCATGTTTGTTTACATTGTGCAAGTCAGATGTATTCATACGCCCTGCAAAGACTTCAGTTATAGTCTCATACGACGATTCTGCTATTGGCAGTACTTTAGTAGTAATATAGAAGGGCTTTGCCACACCAAATGTAAATATATATATATAAACACATACACACTTGAACCGTAGAACCCCTTTAGTAAATGGTGCTCTTTTAACATCTTTCAAAGTGACATTGTCGTTTCTCTCGCTCTACTCTTACTGAGCTAAATATCACGTTGAGTTTTATTTTAATTATACTACAACAAACAAAAACAAACAAAGAATTATTATTATTCGGATATTTTAGGCCGTATCACTTCACTCTTACGGAATTAAAAATCACATTAAGGTTTATTTATTATATTGCAACAATTTCCAACAGAACAAAATAATAATTTATCCGTTTTTTTTGCCGTGTCCTATTCCAAGGACATTTAAATCACAGGTGGCTCGACTCACTTGCAATACTTTACTAGGGTTAGGGTCATCAGGCGTTTCCATGCCGGTACGGGGAAAGATGTCGTAACAGGAGACTAATGTGGGGGCCCCGCAGAATTGGGGGCTTTTTTCCGTGCCCTATAATGAAACATTGAAGAAACCACTTAAATGTTCACTGAATAGGCGGCAAGGAAGGAACCACACCCAAATCTGCAGGGAGAATTAGTCGCCTCTTATGATCATGTAGTGATATCGAGCAGACCTATATTTCCATGAACCTGAAATTCTTATAGATAGATAATAAATTTGTACAACAATGTTGTATAACATTGTTAGCATTAGATTTTGTTTTTAAATTTCATTACAATTGTACGGTGCAACGTTTTGTCCAAGAGCCCTATAACAATTATGAAAACTAAACCGTTATGGAGAATGTTTCGAAATGACAATGGCAAACAGAATCAGTACACACACCGCCAACACTGACGTAGCTCCCATACAATGGAATGTCACGTGGTATGTACCTGTTAAGTCACGTAGATATCCTATAAATAAAGAAGAAATAGAATATCACATCATAACAATATTATAACCATAACAAATTTAAGATAGTCTATAAAGATTTCTCAAAATCAGTTGAATAAAGCAAGCGTTTCGGAAATGTATTGTGCAGTTTTAATCTTGTATGTGTCGATCAAGATCCAAAGAACCCGATATTGCAAAATGCAACTATAAGCGGGTGTAAATTTCATTTTCCTAAGGTTGCAGGTTTCACAGATGAAAGGAATAGTACCTTCATGTTGCTCAGTCGGAATGAATATCCAAAGAGCTGCGGTATCAATTCAGGACATATTTGTATTCGTATGCGGTAAATTATTATTTAGAACATCTGTATCTATTACCAAAATGTTAAAGGTACAAAACACGTATGTGTGTGTGTGTGTGTGTGTGTGTGTGTTACGTTTATCTTATATGTATTAATATTTAATGGACATATTTGTTGGTTCCACTTAATTGAAGATCAAAAGGTACCTTACTAAAAGTTATGGTTGACGTTTCATTTTCTTGGCGCTCAGCGTAGCAATAACACGTTCTTTATAGTAGATAAACAAAAACAGCTCAAAGAGAAAATCTGTTGACTTACCAAGTAAAGGGATCATTCCACCTAGTACAGCTCCCTTTACAAAGATGGCTACAGCAATGGCGGATGCAAAGTGTTCCTCGTTCACAATGTCTTTAAGCACCGGACTGCTAATCGCGAACACTACACCCGACATCAAACCAAAAAGCGCTGCAAAAATTGCAAGTTTAAAAAACGTATCGTACAAGTAAATAAACTGTGGTAACAATGCCGTAACGACTTGTGAAACTAAAATCAGATTGTGTTTTTTCATCCAACGTAAATCAGCTAGATATCCACATAAAACCCGTCCGAGAAAATCACATACTGAATGTATCGAGATGAGCCATGCTATGTTCGAACTTTCGATGCCAGTTTCCTTTGCGTGTGGTGGTAGATATATAGTTACCGTCTCGTTACTTATTGTCCCTGTGGTATAAAAAGCAACAAAGATTAAAAAGATCTTGTTTTTCAGGAGAATACGTCCACTCTCTTTGCAGCTTGCAATCACTGTAGGAATACATGAAACCGTTAACCAATCCTCAGATCCCAAGTCAGATTTTGCTTGTTCCTTTGATCTGCGTTCGGGTGAAAGAGATAAATTGGGAACACTTGCACATTCGAAAGCAGACATGGATGAAAAATGACGAAACTCATTAATATCCGTTACTTTCTGGAAGTGAATGTCCTTTTTGTGACGTGTTTGATGTTGCGAGTGTAGTAACTCTGGCATTGAATTTGAAGTCAGCGTTACATCCTTTTCTCGCCGGGTCGCTCTTTTGCTGTGTAGTGTTGATAATTTGGTCTCGGAGGTAGATATTTGATATCCCAATTTGTTTTTGTTTTTAGTGCCAACTAATAAATCCATTTCGTTAACATTGTTCGTATTTTCTGATTCACAAGATATCATTTCTTGACTCGTCGCAAGGCGTTGTTTCCATTTTATTTTGTACAGTCGACGATAGAATTCTGGTGGGCGTTGAAGAACTGCAGCCGGAAGTGCATTTAAGACAATAGCGGAAGTAAGAAGGAGAGCGCCGTGTAGCGTATATTCTTGGACAATAAGTTGGATCAATGAGGGCATCACGAGCCCACCCAGGGACAATCCCGCCATCAGAACTCCGTTAGCAAGTCCTATGTGTTTCCGGAAATATCTACCCACTTGAACGATGCCAGTGGGAACGATTAGTGCTATACTTAATCCTTAAACACAAAAATGTAGGATTAACATTCAAAGCATGATAACCATGATAGGTACTTCGAAATTGATTCTTTTATATTAAATTTTGAGTTTGAATGACTATTTTGTTGACACTTCAGTATTCTCTCTTTCTTCACATGAACTTTATTGTTTGTATACTCATTATTAACCCAGTAATCTGTGGTGTAAAACGAAAAATGTATTTGCGCTTTTCGTACCAGCCTGTACTGATAGTATGTGATCATTCAATTAACACAAACTTATCGTTCGTTCTTTTTTTATCCGATGTCCCTGTAACGTGGCAGGTATTTACATCTTACCATTAAGAACGCTTTGACAAAGGATGAGGATGTCGAGTCTGGAGGTCAAACTGCTGAGGGCGTAGGCCAATGTACTGATGATGATACCGATGAGCTGACAGGTCCGCACACTCTGGTACCGCAGCAGAATCATCAGCACGGGTAGGTCTGGTCAATAAAGCATCAACGAGGATATGTTAATTAAGTTAAATGTTTAATGACGGACAAATATGTGTAGAGAAACGGGCATTAGAAAAGACAAGAATTCCAAAGGAGTGGATGTGTCGCCTGCGTAACAAATTTACTATTTTCAGTAACGGTGACCTTGACCTCTGACCTTCGAACCTAAAAAAACCAATCCCTAGCAGCACTATTGGTAAGGATTCACTGTATGAAGCCTGAGCTCGATCAACCTAAAAAAACTTGAGTTGATATAAATGTGTTTACTGCTACCGTTTTGTTGGCGACTGTGACCTTGCCATTCATTTACTTTGTTTATGGCGCAAGCTATTCTGTGTTTCAGAATTACACTTTCGTGGTCAATGTTGCTTTTACTAAAACTAGAATCTTGGCTTTGAGGTAGGAGTTTTGAACAAATAATAATAAGTTCCTGCATTTTCGAAAGAATGCCCTTATTTGGCAATGAAAATGAAGCATAACTCTGCCAAATAGCCTTTAAATGTCAGAATTTAAGAACTCATTCAAAGCATTCAGGTAATGAAACAACGAAGTAGTTAAATAAAAATCGGATAACAATCGTATGAGTTATCATGTAAACAAGGAAAAGTTAACAACAAAAGGAAGTACAGTGCTGCTATGTCAGGTGTGATACGCCAAAACGCGGAAAGTTGAAAATCGACAAAAAAACCTGTAATATCTGTTGAACAATATTACCATACCAAATGTGAAAGGAATTGATTAGAAAATGAAAAAGTTATTGAATTATCTACACAATGCCCTAATTTGGTAATGAAAGGAGCATTGTACCGCATTGAAAAATGCTCAAAACTCTGCCCAATAGCGTTTTAATATCATGATTTGAGGTCTCATCCAATGCATTCAGATAATGAAACTTCCTACCAAGTTTGACAAAAGAGCTAGAAAATGTATGTAAGACATAAATGTCCCCGCTGCCATGTGACATTAGTTTCCGTGTTTTATGAAAAGTTACAACCACTTTGATCTTGATACCCTGAAACATGCACACACACAAGGTACTACACTTAAAGTTGATTTTAATTTAAGTGTTTAAATTGAATTAGTAGATGATTTTCTATATATAGCAGCAGTGACCTTGGCCTTGACCTTGGAGCCCTGAAACACAACAATGTCCGAGGTATACTCATTCTTGACCTTTGCATAAAGTTTGACCAAAATACATGAAGGAATGGAGTTGCTAAGTGTTTAAATTGAATCAGTTGATGATTTTCTATATATAGCAAGTGTGACCTTGGCCTTGACCTTGGATCCCTGAAATACAACGATGTCCGAAGTATACCCATACTTGACCTTTGTATTAAGTTTGACAAAAATCTGTCAAAGAATGAAGTTGCTAAGTGTTTACATTGAATCGGGACGGGACGGACATGGGTAACACTAAGTAAACAAGCAAACGTTAACGGCAAAAATGATGAACAGCGTTTATTTGTCAAGTGTGACATGCCAAAACCCGTTACTACACAATACCTTTTTTTGGCAATAAAAGGGGCATAACTTCACCAAAAACTCAAGTTATCGCACTGAAACCTTGTTTCGGACAACGCAACCGACGCCGACAAAGTAATACTGATATGTCGCCTCGCGTTGCAGGCGACACAAAAAGTAGAGTGAAAACAGACACCACGTACACACGTTTAGTGAAACAGGCATCAACGGGGACAAGCTTATCGATATAGGCATGAACAAGTTTATAGTACTGAAAACGACACAAATGAAGATGTGAAACTCGATAATGATATGAACACACATCACCAGAAATGGAGGCAGGACCAAAAAGAACGAAAGGCAACATGTTCATTCACGAAAATCCTGAAGCGAAACTTAAAGCCTTTACGGAAACGGGTGCTATAACTTGCCTATCATGCTATTACCTACTTGCTGTACAGTATACAGTGAACTGGAGTCCCGATATAAGAGAGGTTGTCGACACAGTGCCACCATAAACATCGAGTATCTCGATGAAGAAAATCCCAAATGATTTCAATATTCCAGAGTATATTATATTGATGACTGTGCTGGCTGAAAATATAACAGACGATAATCATAAATATATGTATATTATTAAACATTATGTATTATTATTTGCATATTCTATTATGCCCTTACAACAATGGAAACACGCAAAGTGAAAACAATATATAAATAATCCTACCCTGTAGAAGTGATAAGTAGCATTTTGTATTTAACTTCTCAATTTCAACCCATATCAAGATGCGGCGAGATTTGAAAAAAGCTTTATTATATAATATGTAGGCACAAATACTTCCTTAATTGTGACACTGTCTATGTTCAAGCATGTTGATTCAATTTCTCTGCAAAACAGATTATTTTTTGTTGTACTGTTCGGAGAAAAGTGCGAAATGCGAGTTATGTTACCTACAGATATGTTATCAGATACACAACCATTAACCTGCTTTCAATAGTACAGGAAATCTATGTTACCTTATTTACAATTGCACTTTCGGGCTTTATTAGTTGTTCACGAGAGTTTGTTAGGGTTTTGCATCGTCACAGCTGTAATGTCATAAAAAGACGATGGTAACACTCCAGGGCCAACTTCACTGTAATATTATGACTTGCACAGAGTAGCACGATGACCTAGCTGGTCCCATCGTTGTCATGAGCTGATACCCCGACTACCTTTGTGCGTGACTATGTACATGCACATTGAATATCTCATTGAATATATATATGAATATAATCACTGACAGGTCTGACTAAACATACATGTACTTAACAGTTGAATGTCATTAAATAGGCAGACCCTGGATTAACTATATTTAGTAACCTATCACATACTTCTTCACTTTTAACTGTTTATAGTAGAAAGTAAACCTCGGTATTACGTTATATTATCTATCAACAATGAGTTTTATTTGTTCTAAGTAATGTTTGAGTAAGTTATGATATATTTTACAACCTATTTATGTGTCCCCTGTTGTGAACTATTGTTATGGTGTTTCGCCTTAAATGACTTGTATTGTCGATGGGCCGTAAAACGAGACAATGGATTGCAATTCTATGATAACTTCACAGCCATTTTAGCGTAGGGTTAAGTAGAGTAAATATGAGAGTATGTTTATTATATAATAACGGTCAACTTAGCTGTTTTATTCACTTTGCCTTTTTTTTTAAAACTTTTTTTGCGACGCTACGATTACCAGTCAGTAAAATCCATATATCATAGCGATTTTCCATACAACTTCTAACATGAGTTGGACATGAGTAACAGGGCTGAATATATGGCCGTATTGTGTCTTGCAATATTGTACTGTATGTGTGTCAGGAAAGGGTCGTTATAGGGCCTAGTGCTGTCAACTCTAGTAACTATTTAGCCCGATAGATCCCACTGCATGATCTAAAGAGGCTACTTATGTGTCCCCTTCGCAGAATCGGGGGTTAAGGGGACTGCAAGAAACCAAAAAGATCTACCGCCCTGACTTTAGCACTTGGAATCTTATTATATTCTTTTCTCACTTCCCATATATTTTTTACGGCGGTGTCTTCCTACGCACCATTTGTCATATGACCCTAGTTGTTGCGATAATATCAAATTTACCATAAGCAAGTAAGCATATGTTAACATCGAAGCTACAAAGTACAATACTGAATATATAAATAAAGTATATGGTGCTGCAGCTACAGTAACACACAAATATAATCTATATATCTCGACGACTGAAATACGTAGTCGACAATAGATCGATAATAAGTACATAGCACTGTAGGTTATAGACTGTTTAGAATTATGACAAAAACACCTACCTGCTAAAACCACCCAGGCCCAACCTTGGTCTACTGGAACATCGTCACCATCCTCCATCGAGCCATAAGGCCGTTCAGTCTCCGCCAAGAAGCGTGAAGAAACACCCTCCTCTGTTTCTGTAATTTCAGACATGTTTATGATGCTGGTTCTCTTGAACCTATTTCTGAGTAAATAGCTAAAAGTCGTAACTGTTAAACAATCCAAAACTGACTCATACAGTTGGCCTACTTCTCTCACATAAAAATAACCATATTCCTGTCGCGTCAAAACGCATTAAAACAGATACACCGCACTGGACAACCTATTAAGCGACATCTGCCAACCACATAAAATCAAATAGATACTATTTAATATACTAAGATAACATTTTCATTGGTCGCTTCTTCTCGGTAAACACCTCGTCGTTACAGGTATACTGTTTGTCCTGCTACCGGTATCATAACATCGTAGGTATGGACACCACATACTCCACACCAGGCAACATCCATGACATGAATATGAGGTACTAAGATAGTATCTCGAACTATAAACAACACAAGAGATAACAACAATCCAAAGATAAACACAAACAATGAACTATTGCAAAACAATAAAAGACCTCTACCGTCACTTTATCGAGACAGTGAATATTTGTTTAATGTTTCATAAATTCAGAAAGTTATCAACTGGACAAGCATTTGGATACTAAAGCTTTAATCGTGTTCTGTGACCTTGAAATATGAGGCACGGACATCGTGTTAGTATTCAACACGTAATCAGCTCATGATATATGCATATGTTAAAATGATATATGCATATGTTAAAAACAATGATTATGTTGCATTGAAACAATTTACTTGTCTAGAGAGTGGTACGCGACACATACTCTCAATGATCCGGTGATCAAACTAGACAACATTGATTTGATTGGTCCATTGTTTGTGGCTTTAAGTCATGTGACGAGGAGTGTCTCGGGCGAAACCACCGAAAGGCAGAAAAGAAATATCCAAAGTATGCTTGGATGGCACAATATATCACTGAGTGTCTAGGGCGACACCACCGAAAGGCAGAAAAGAAATACGCAAAGTGTGCCTGGATGGCACAATATATCATGGAGTGTCTAGGGCGACACCACCGAAAGGCAGAAAAGAAATACGCAAAGTGTGCTTGGATGGCACAATATATAATGGAGTGTCTAGGGCGACACCACCGAAAGGTAGAAAAGAAATACGCAAAGTGTGCTTCGATGGCACAATATATAATGGAGTGTCTAGGGCGACACCACCGAAAGGTAGAAAAGAAATACGCAAAGTGTGCTAGGATGGCACAGAATATCATTGAGTGTCTAGGGCGACACCACCGAAAGGCAGAAAAAAATATCCAGTGTGCTAGGATGGCGCAAGATATCATGAGTGTCTAGGGCGACACCGAAAGACAGAAAAGAAATATTCAAAGTGTGCTAGGATGGCACAAAATATCATTGCGTGTCTAGGGCGACACCACCGAAAGGCAGAAATTCAAAGTGTGCTAGGATGGCACATAATATCATTGAGTGTCTAGGGCGACACCACCGAAAGGCAGAAAAGAAATATCCAAAGTGTGCTAGGATGGCGCAAGATATCATGAGTGTCAAGGGCGACACCACCGAAAGACAGAAAAGAAATATTCAAAGTGTGCTAGGATGGCACAAAATATCATTGCGTGTCTAGGGCGACACCACCGAAAGGCAGAAATTCAAAGTGTGCTAGGATGGCACATAATATCATTGAGTGTCTAGGGCGACACCACCGAAAGGCAGAAAAGAAATATTCAAAGTGTGCTAGGATGGCACAAGATATCATGGAGTGTCTTGGTCTCTTAAAATGACAACAATGCTTGTTGTATGGAACAAACGCAGTTTGACTGCATCCTGTCTGTGGAATATTTAATTATTTTGAAAAAATAAACTCTAATAATTGTGATAATTGAAATGTCAGTTTCTAGAAGTTCTCAAACCAGGGGGAGATAAGCTAGTAAGGGCTGGTAGACAGCCTAACCCAGAGTGTCCATCAGTCTTTCTCTTTTGAAGTAAATTGAGAAATGATCCTACAGAATGATGACCCACCGGTAGTAAAGAATATAAAAGATGCCATTTTGAACAACCTTTCAACCAGGTAAATATAATTCCATATAAATGCAATACTTTTGGATATTTATTCATTGTAAATTTAACTTGAGTATATTTGACAGCAAAAAATAATGAATTTGATTATCGATGACAAATTTTGTAAATCAATTAATTAATCATGGATAGAGGTTACTCACTGCATGCATGTAAGAGACGGCTAATGTGGGAGGCCCCCCTCCCCTGTTGAATTTTTGGATTTGCGTTTGTGCACTCTACTTGGGGACAAAAACGCGACCAAAATAAATCTATTGCCATATTATGTATTTCTCTCTACCTCTACTTCTTAATCCCTTTTTTAAACGGCTTGCTTGGCAATATATCACATTTGGCTTTAATGTGGAACGTTGGGTTCCTGCAGGTTGGACATCAGAAATGTACTTGCTGCCCCCATTGCATGATCGTAAGAGGCGACTGATTTTGGGATCTTATCTTTTCTCTTCTTTTCTTTCTTCTTCCTAATGTCTCCATTGACAATGCCTCACTTTTGGTGTTTAGTTGAGTGCTCGCCCCTGTGAGGAAGGCTTTGGGTTCTGTCCCCTGGCCGAGACATACCAGAACAATTGGTAGTTTCTACTCCTGCCTAACGCTCAGGCAATTTAGGAGTGGGACGATTGGTTCGCCTGTTGTCAGTATAATGTGACCGGGTAGGGGTGTCCTGCTGGGTGTCTTCGGCAGTATGTTTCAGTGAGGTAGCACTATAAAGTCGGCATCAGTTCCGCGCTGTCACAAGGAGACCAACACGAACATATCGCAGCTTCCTAAAACACACAAGCATACACTACACACATGCATCTTGCATACAGGGGAGGCGTCCTTAAATGACCATAACTGTTGATAGGACGTTAAACAATACTAAACCAAACCAATCGCCCAGGTGAGGAAGTCCATGGGCTCAGTCTCCACCCCGGGACATACCATACCAAAGTCCTTAAAATTGGTAGTCCTTATTACCTGCTTAACTTGAAGCATTCAGGGTAATGTGCACTGGTTCACTCGTTGGCAGTATAATGTGACAGGGCGGAATGCTGTGCTAGCGGTGCCTTCAGTATGGTACTTTAGTGAGGTATTTCCTTGAAGTAGTCATCAGAAGTAACAGGAGACTATGACAGCCTGCAGACGAACTTTATTTGCCACATCGTTGTTTCAGTATAGCAGAGCAAGCAGATGCTACAGCAATATGGCCGCTCAAGCACATGGTATTTCATCAAGGAGAATAACTCTAAACCAATAACATGATTAAGGATACTTATTTCATGAATACGTATTTACCACACTATCAGATCCGCGCTATAACAAAGAGGCAAAAACACCTGCATACCCTGCCTCCAGCACACATACACACATGCACACACACAACACATATGGAGGCACGTCCTTATGTGACCTAAGCTGTTGTTAAGGCGTTTAATCGTATACATGTGGTTTCTTAGTCGAAGTAAAATACAAGACAAAGCCGAGGGTCTATTAAAATAATTTATTCTTGAGTTTAAATAAACTGTTATCGTGGTGAAAAAACCCACACAAATCTGCAACTGATATATTAACTGAGAAACAATTCAAGGGAAATGACACATGTTTAGTATCACAAGCATCACATTTCGAGACTGATCGAGAAAACAACATAGCTTCCAGTTATCCATCTTTGATTTTGAGATGTCATCAATGTTATCGTTATTTCCGCATAAAGACATACTGACCTCATTTCGAAAGAAAACTATAAACCCCAACTGTATTAAATGTTTAGCAAAAGTAACCACAATATGCATTTACTGTTGACAAAATCCAACAGATAAAAGTAAGAGAAAGTAATGGAAAATATCGAACTTGAATATCACTAACAAATACCTTACGGTCTTACGTAGGTGAGCGCCATGACCCGTCTGGGATCTCTTGTGCTATTCAGAAAATTGGTAATTGCAATAATATGTATATGCATGCAATTAACATTCTGGTATGAGGTTTATTGTCCATAAAAGAGTCCGGGTGATTTAAACACGGGTGCTTAGGGATACACTACCATTTGGGTTATTTATTGTCCTCTATGCACACAGAAGAAACTCCCCGACTTTGCTGTTAAAATAACATGAAGAAGCAGGTTTATTCTTTCCATGAACATGCAACGGTACGTTATAGCAATTACACCAACATACCCTGTATCCAGCATATACACAATCGTGCACGCATACATAACACACACGGAGGCACGTCCTTAAATGACCTTAGCTGTTAATAGGACGTTAAACAAAATACAACCAAAAGCAATGGTACATTCTATACAATTTCTAAAGTAAGGTAACATAACATATTCACGAAACATGAAATATGACACGATGTATAAAAATAAGACAACATTATGGTGAACATATTACTTACAAGACTCGACACATACTGTATAGCGTAGGTATACAAACTAACTTACGACTCACAGAATCGGTACATATTTTTAACGTTTCAACATTTACGAGACATTACGTAGACTACACAATATATGGGCAACATTTGTAATAACATGAAAACAAAGCACTCGCGCTTTTATAAAGTTAGAAGAATCCTTGGTATTAAATTCAAATGACATGTTATATTTTATGTTGGAGACGCAAAGGAGGACAATTGATATTACATGCTTGCTAACATTTACAGCAGATACAATTTGGGTAGTAGTTTACTCCATTAAGCAATATCTGATAAGCGATATTAAATAATTCTAGGTTATAATTATTTTTTTCAAAACATTATTTATGTTCGTTATTCAGCGATAGATACAAATGTCCTTGTGCCATAAATACATATATATATAAGGATATATGTAGTGGGTATTAAATTTACGTTAATATATATTAAAGTAAAAACAGTGACATTTCATACTTAAAGGCAGGTTTCACGACATCATGGCAGACGTTACTCCTGATTAAATAAAATATTGTTCCATATCTCAATCGCTTCAAAAATGAAAGCGGCAATATTTTGCAATGTACTCCTGCTCGTAGACGATATTAATTCTAGAAACTTTGGTCTTTTTGGGTGATGATAATACCTCCTATTAATGTACATATGTCTTATGTTGGAACACAAGTTACACTCCATTAGGAAATGACACTCGTCCTCTAAGACGCCACAACAATTACGTGTACGATTCTCATACGGAATAGGGTTCGTTCTGTGCCAACGGCCTATCTCAACACTCAAACGATGAGAATAGACTCTAAATTTTGTTGAGGATATACGAAACTTTTTTATGTTGACAAGGTCGAGATATAGTTTGTATTCGAAATTATTTAAAAGATTAACATGAAATCTTGCTCTAGTAGAGCCAGATAATTCCCTCTGCCAATTTTGAACAAAAAATCTATTATTCTAATTTTAAATAAATGCATAAAGGCTTCTATACGATCTATCCCTGCAGGTAGGGCGTAAGAATTGTACCTGCTGCCCCCAATTGCATGATCGTAAGAGGCAACTAAATTTGGGACCTTATCTCTTCTCTCCTTTCTAAATAACTTTATTCTTCCTAATGTCTCCCTTGACAATGCCTCACTTTTGGCCATTTGTTGAGCGTTCGCCCCTGTGAGGAAGGCTTTGGGTTCTGTCCCCTGGCCGAGACATACCAAAGTCTTTAAAAATGGTAGTTTCTACTCCTGCTTAACGCTCAGCAAATTAGGAGTGGGACGACTGGTTCGCCCGTTGTCAGTATAATGTGACCGGGTGGGGCGTCCTGCTGGGTGTCTTCGGCAGTATGTTTCAGTGAGGTAGCACTATAAAGTCGGCATCAGTTCCGCGCTATCACAAGGAGACAAACACGAACATATCGCAGCCTCCCAAAATACACACACATACACTACACGCATGCATCTTGCACACAGGGGAGGCCGTCCTTAAATGACCTTAGCTGTTAATAGGACGTTAAACAAAATCAAACAAACAAACAAACAAACAAACGATCTACAGACTGCATGTACAAAACGTATCCAAAACCATTAGTAAAAATAAGTTCTTTTACCGCATTAGCCCAATTTTGTTTGGAAAACTGTTTAGTATCCTGATACAAAATGTTATATACTGATCTAACAAGATCGATTGTTGAATCGCATACTATCCTCAGCCATTATTTTATTATTCTGCAATATCTTGTTATTTTTAATGGAAAACGACCTAGTTAACCATAAACAAAATTATTTTGTGTTGCGGGCTTTGCATATAATAATCTTTTACAGAATTTAAGGTGTACACGTTCAATATCCTCAGCCAAATGGAAGCCCCATACCTCGCTTCCATAGCAAAGCACGGGCATTACCAATTTATCAAATAAATCACATATATGTTTGGGCGATAAATTAGCAAAAGTATTTTTCCATTTTGAATATAGATTTAGCAGCTTGGCCAGCCAGAGTTTTTTGAGCCTCACAATATGAACCCCCCGATGTAAAAACAATGCCCAAAAACGAAAACCTATTCACTATCTCAATTTCTCCACCGTCATTAAAAAATCTAACGTCACTTGGGACCCTTCCACCTTTTCTGAATATCATAACCTTAGTTTTATTTACATTCAGTTTTAATTTTCATGTGTTACAATACTCTTTCAGTATGTCTAATCCGTGCTGTAACTGTATAGACTCGGGAAAAAATGTGATGTCATCCGCGTATGGACCTAAATACAGTTTTCAATAATCAATTGCTATACCATCAAAACCATTCAATATAAATTCATTTTCTAAATCATTTATATACATAACAAATAAATAAGGAGACAAACTTTCACCTTGACGAACCCTGGTAATGCATTGAAAGCTTTCTGAAATTTCATTATCTACGTTTAGCCTTGATTTGACAGACCTATACGAAGCTTTAATTATATCAAGCATGTTACCCTTAACGCCAACTTTTATTAGTTTAAGCTACAAATTGCCCTTACAACATAATCAATGTTTTTTAAGAAATCAATAAATGCACAATGTAGACTATTTTTTAAATGAAAAAGATGAGAGATAACTCCATTTAAAATAAAGATATTATCTATGGTACTGTGACCCGTCCTAAATCCCAATTGTTAGTATAATATAAAAGAGAATCTAGCATCTTTTGAAGACCTTCAGGAGTTTCTGCTACAATGACTATGTCATCAGCGTACATTATTAGATGGACAATTTTCTTATAAAAAGTGCATTTGCCAATCATTTACATATAAGAAAAATAAAATTGGCGACAGAATTTCTCCCTGGAATAATCCGTTTTACAAGTGAAGAAGTTTGACAATTTTCCTTCATACTTCACACAACACTAAACTGTTTCATATACAGATCTTATTATAGTTTACATTTTACCATCAATACCTTCTCTTAATAATTTGTACAATAATTTTTGACGATTCACGAAATCAAATGCCTTTCTATAATCAACAAAAAGTAATTTACACATCTCTGTTAGTGGTGGTAGAACTTCCCTTGGTATGTTGTGCAGCCACTTTATCAAACAGTCCTAAAAACAAGACAGTTGTCAATGAAGTAGCACCAATTAAATGGAATGTGGCATGGTAGTTGTTCGTGCTGTCTCGGAGATAACCTAAAATAGCGCAAACCGGAATGAGAATTAGTTTAAGGAGTCAACAAACCAAACACGTGCTATGATCGAAATGTAATAACTAATATTAAAAGGAAGTCAATTGCTTTAAATAATTACCATATATGCATTTTGTTATTTCTAATTTAAATTGGTTTATGGAGTAAACGAAACAAGTAGGGATTATCATCAAAATGTAATTGCCTTAAATTATCGAACAAAATCTGACAAAGTATTTATGTGCATTTTATTATCATTACTTTGCTAATTATCAGAGTGATCTACCTACCTAGAAAAGGAATTATTCCACTGACAAAACAACCCTTTATAAGAATCATGACCGCCATGCTCGTTGGAAACATTTCTTGACCAACGGCGGCCGACAGAATCGGTGGGAACAAAACAAATATGATCCCCGCCGTAAGTCCATAGCCAACTGAGAAAATAACTAGTGACCAGAAGACTTGGAACAATGGTGTCATTTGCATGATGAGACCGGCTATCAATTGGGAAGCCATCACAATCTGCGGTCGTCTGACCCTTGGTAGGTCTGCAATATAGCCACTTAAGATCCGCCCTATAACAAAAGAGGGTAAATTTAGAGCTATTTGTTATATTGTCTCTCGCTGCTTTAATGCGTAAATTCCTAAACGTGTTATATCAAAAACGAAGTATAGAATCTCGAATTGTTGTTCTCTTTGAACTAAAGAAAAGAGGCAATCTACATGTAGCAGGTCAGTTAGACGCTATTATCAATAATTCTGCTAGGACAATGTCTGTAATAGCGAGAATATACGATTGCCATAACAAATGACGATTTTTATGCAACATCTGATTTAGCATTTTGCAGCAATCAATCGAATAGCACAAAGTTACCAGTGGAAAATGTTTCGAAGCAACAGTTTAACTTACCAGAAAAGTCGCACATAAACTGAATGGAAACCAGAGCAGCTATCCTGGAGCTTTCCACTCCCCTGTCCTTCGCAAAAGATGGTATAAATAGATGAGATGTTTCTCCACCCACACTTGCAAAACAATAGATTGGAATAAGCATTAAAAAGTCCTTATTCCTCCACAATTTTGGGCTGCACATTTGCCAAGATTTACAATGATTAATTGCACGTTTTATTATACTCAGCTCACGAAATGAATTTGACGAATTGTGATCGCTTGACGCATTCCATCCTAACTCCTGTGATAGATATGCGAGTTCACCTGTACTAAGGTATTTGAAAATACGTGGCTCTGAATACACAACGTTACATTTGATTGCTATTGTGTCTATCTGACTATCGCTGGTATTTTGATCTTTTGTAAAAGTATGATTTGTTACATTTTTAGGTGAGGAGAGATTTGGAGCTGAAGCACTTGCAATGTTTAGATCGGTATTGTAATCCGACAGTAGGGCCCTCATCTGGTGCATGTGATGACCGTCACTAAACTCTGTCGAATAACCATTATTGCTCTCCGAGTTGACGCAGTTGCTTGGCAGGTTTACCGCGCTCTTAGGTTTATATAGTCTAAGTTCTCTTATTTCACTACGTCCTTCCAGTGTTACTGTTTTGCCTGGTTTTTGTTGCTGTTGTGTATGAAAATCTATTGGTTGTATTAAAAACGCGAGAGGGAGACAATTTAATATGATACCCGCTGTCAGCAGCAGAGCCCCTTCCAGTCTGTACTCATCCAGAATGTACCGCATTAGCGGCGGCAGGGCAACACCTCCTAGTGCGTACCCTGACATCAAGACGCCATTAGCCAATCCGGCACGTCCCTTAAAATACTTCCCAACTAAGACGATGGCTGTTGGGAACACTAGAGCCATTCCTAGTCCTGAAACATATGTTTAACCAATTAATTGAGTGCCACATAGTCAAAACCAAGTCTGATGACATGAATACAACTAGAAAATGTCTGTAAGATATGAATGCCCCCGCCGCCATGTTAAATTAGTTTAGTGTTTGATGTACAGTGTGGTGCAATATATATTCGGACAAGATGGCGGAATGTTTACGTTGCGCGGAATACTCACATATGTCACTGTATAAACAGAGTGCTATAAAAAAAACGTCGGTGTGTTAAGAAGTTATTATTGGCTGCTGATGTCACGTGACACTTGAAATTTTGACAGCTAAAATAAGATAGGTCGAAAAAGAAACGAGTTGAGCTCTGAGGAAAAAGAAATTGCTAAGAATTACTAGAAGATGGACATACTTTATGATATGTGTCAGAACTTAGGACACCCAAATCAACAATCGGGAGTCTGAAAAAACGAATCGAACAGCGAGGTAATTTAGAAAACATACCACGAAGTGGTCGAAAGTTGAAGCGACTAGTTAAAGGTAACAGAAAGGACCGTTTGGGTGATGTTACAAACAAATTTAATGAAAGCAGATAGAAAGACCGATAGCTCAATGTACCTTACTGGTATTAACGGAGATAAATCGCCAAAACGCCTGTCATGGTACCGTGAAAAAAGATGACTGACAGTTGATAATTTCTGGAACAAAGTGATATTCTCGAACGAGTCTAAAATGATGATAGGACATGATTCCCGTGTGTATGTTTGGAGGAAAAGGGGCAAAGGCTGGAGGCCTTATTTAGTGATGCCACGTCGTTGTAAACCATGTTACCAAGTCATGGTAGTTTTAATGGTTGTGGGTTCGAGCCACGGCAGGGCACTGTGTTGTATCTTTGAGCAAGATGCTTTACTCAACTTGTTACAGTCTACTCAGCTGTAAATGAGTATGTGATTGGGCAGGTTAGATTTGTTGAATGCTAGCTGTTAGCGCCGAAATATCAGCTCCGACTGTATGCTCCCCTGGGAGGTGAGAAAGATATTGGCTGGTTGCAAAGGCCCTATACCAACGGATACTACTTTGTGAACCGTTTTGAGACGACCTACGAAATAGGTTGTGATAAAGCGGTATATAAGAACCTCGAATTATTATTATTATTATGGTCTGGGGATGCATAACATGGCACGGAGTTGGTACTATTACGACAGTAAATGGCAATATAAATGCAGAAAAATACCAGGATATTCTTGATGAAAATCTATGGCGACAATGAGCTGGCCAGTCCAGATATTAATATAATCGAAAATATGTGGTTACTAGTCAAGAGAAAGCTACATCAACATGTTTGGATAATCGCTAGCATAGATCCTTTTTTTTTTTTGTGAAACCAGGAACATCTGGGTAGAGATTACTGCAGACTATGTTTAGTGCCTGTATCGATCTATTCCTCGGAGAATATTGAGCGTCATTCGATTGAAAGGACACAAAGTACTAAGTAAGTTGTCATTATGTATTTAAATTCTGAATTGCATTTATTATGTCTGACAGTTGACCTACTTGCCGTAACGAATGTAAACACGCCGCCATCTTGTCCGAATATAGATTGCATCACACTGTATTATAAATAGTTACAACCACTTTGATCTTGATACCTGGAAATGTGTTGGCCTTGACCTTGGAACCCTGAAATATACACAAATCTAATACACACAAAAACGTCGTCCGAGGTATTATGTGTATAAACTTTTATCAATATCTGTTAAGAAATGAAGTAACTAGAGTGATGAAACTAAATCGGTTGATGATTTTCTATATATAGCAACCGTGACCTTGGCCCTGACCTTGAAACCCTGAAACACAACGATGTCCGACGTATACTCATACTTGACCATTGTAAAAAGTTTGAAGAAAAGTGTTTACATTAAATCTGGTCGGATATGGGCAACACTATATGCCACATCCCCCCACCCCCCATTATGCGGGGGCATACAAAACGCATGGTCAACACAGAAGTCGAGCACTCGTTACATAGTTCTTGCAAAGTTTTGAAACAAAATTATGTCAATGGCACATGGCATTTTTAAGTGTTACTTTACGTTATCCTGTGGGGTGTTGGGGTGTACTCGTTGTCTTGTTTAAAGGGACAAGGAAGAAATCAAGAATAAACCTGCTGTATCCAACTGAATGTGTATCGTAAAAGATGACTAATGTGGGGGCCCCTGCAGAATTGAGGGTTTTATTCAATTTCTACTACGAAGGGGAATTGGAGAAATCAAAATTGATCTGTTGCCCCGTTTACAAAAGGATCATTTTTGTGTCCCGTCTTTCCTGTCTTCTTTCTTTTTAATCTACTTTCTGTTTCAGGCGGTGTCTCCCTAGCTAGTCACCAGTGCTGCTATGATCTTGGCTGCTGCGGGGACGTTAAACCCCAAAATACTATTGATAGTACGCACCACAGTTTTGTTAAACCATATATCATGATGTGCAGAAGCACATCGGGAGGGAAATGCGTCGTTGTAATATGTGTAATGATATGCAACAACGGTACCTTCAAACTAATTCCGTGATGTGTAGTTGTGCGTCTTAAAGAAAATATTTGAACAGGTCTCTGCTGTTTAAATTCATAATTGCAACGGGCTAATCAGTTAAAGCTGAAAGTGAAGAAGTGTCCAACATGCATTAATTTCAGCGACTTGGGCTCTTGGTCTAGGGAAAACCCACCACCTTCTACGTTTTGGTAAATGTTCAAGTTGCCGATATAGTGTTACCGGGTTGCTGCTACCTTCTACGCTGTCACACGTAGATACTGTTGCATATGGTCTTAACCACTGCATGTCAAGATCGAGCAAATAATACACCTGCCGTTACATACGGCATGTATCGTAAAAGGCGGTTAATGTGTGAAACGAACCCCTGTAGCATTGGGGGTTTGCTTTTGTGCCCTCTATTTGACGACGCACAAGCGACCAAATTAAATGTGCTGGCCCCATTGCTATTTGGGACCTTTTATGTCCTAGCGCCTTGCGGAAGGCAATGAATTCTCTTCCCAGGTTTTATGGACAGAATATGATACTTACCACTCAGAATACTCTGTGTGAGGATGAGTAGGTCCAAGCTGTGTACTAGAGAGCTCAATCCGAATCCCAAAGCTGTAATCAGGATACCAGCTATCTGGCAAGACCTGATACTGCAATGACGCAGCAGTGACGTCATGATTGGAAGCGCTAAAAAAAGACAAAATAGCACAGTATCGTAACACAACGTTTGTTACCTAGTCACACCACTCCCGTGCAGGTTGATGATTTCGATAAAGAACATATCTGCTATAACACACTGCATTTACTGTCTGAGGCAACCAACATGGAAACCTCCTGCAAAATGAAGGATTTGCTTTGTGTCCTCTATTTGGCCACATAAGTGACCAAAATCAACCTGTTTCATCCATTTCCACATTGAAAATTTTACATGATGTAAAATGTGACCAGGTTTTATTATGATTATATGTGCCGGTTATGGTCATATCAACAGCTAAGGTCATTTAAGTATGTGCTTCCACATGTATTGTGTTTGCGTACATGTATATACGTGTGCTGGAGGCAGGGTGTATTTGCCTCCTTGTGATAGCGCGGATCTGATTGGTGTCTTTGACATGGTATTGAGATACATGTGGCATTATAAAGTCGGCATCAGATCCGCGCTATCTCACTGAAATACCATGTCAAAGGCAATGGAATAACAGCTACTAATTTTAAGGATTTTGGTATATCCCGGCCTGAACAGAACAGGATAGAACCCATTGCCTTCCTCACCTTGGCGAACGTGTATCATTGAAGCCGAAAGTAAGGTATTACTTAGCATGGTATTAGGGAAAAAAGGTAGTTAGAAATAGGGAGATGTTCTGAGATAACATTTCTGTAACATTGCACTTTCAAACCAATCCCTTTATATGCCCACCATCCATGAATACCGCAATCATATACGGTTAAAACAAACCAACAAATCAGACTCTCTTGATTATTGATTATAAGACTCTTTCATATGTACTGGAGGTGGATATAGAATTCCTCCCAAGGGAATCATAAATTGGCCCGAGGCTTTGCCGAGGGGTTTAGCCCAATTATGATCCCCGAGGGAGGAATTCTCTACACCTACCGTTAAATGATTTCACCTCTCAATGCCCACAGACGGTCGGCATCTTCCAGTTTTTTAAATACTTTCTCCGTGGTTTAAAAACAAAAATAGCAGTAGAAATGAATTATCCATACCTTCAAACCACAACATCGTTGCACGCAAAAAAACACCACATTTCCATGATAACAATGGTTTAGTTGTTATTCAACCTTCTATTTTCTATACGGCATTTTCTAAGCGCCATCTTTGAACCTCATCGCTACTTGCTGTACATTTAATTTAGTGCGCAGAGAAATATAGTTCCTAGTTGAAAATAGAAGTCAAATTATGTCTTCCATATTTTACGATACTTCTTATTATGATGGCTACTCAGTAGCGTAAATAGTAAAACTACGTGTCTTTGTTTATGTTTACGGTACATACACTTGTAGCAGACGACGTAAGTTGTTGACATTGGTAGTTGCTCCCCTTAGTTTTTGTATAACTACGCGATGTGATTAGCCCATGTGAGATAGACTCAGTAAGTATGGTTATCCTACATGGCCAGCGTTATCTTACATGACCGGATATGAGAGAAAAGCATTTCTCTTACCTTAGACAGATTTATCCTTACTTTTACCGGTGTAAGATTTCCTTGTCTCACCCTAGGGTAGAGACAAGCTACAAGTGCTCTTTGCACGTTCTCCACAATAAACCTGACGTCACTGATGTGACCCGGAAGAAGAACTACTTTTATGAGGTCACACACATACACAAGTTCGTCTGCTTATCTTGTCGTGTTTACATTTGACATCGAAGAAGACGGGATTGATTTTAAAATGTTTTAAAATATGATGGGTGAACCGTCTCACGCATACATATAGCATAATACGCTATTCACGTGTTTCTGTTTACAAACAATATGCTTCGTCTTACACTTGGACAGGAACAACAGGGTAAGAGAAATAATCATTCACCCCCGCGGGGATGAGAAAGGGGGGTCTCAAATCTCGGGGGGGGGGGGGGGGGATATTCTTAAGTTACCAAACACGATGCTTTTCCGAATTAAGAATCTTCCCCCCTCGGGGTTGAGATCCCCCTATCTCACCCTCAAGAGGATGAAAGATTTTATTCTTTTTTATTATCTGGTCTGATCTGATGGAATGTTGTCTTTTTATTAGGACATGGCAAGGGGTCCCCGCCACTAACTGGTACTGTTTTTTCTTCTGTGTGCCTTTCTTCTCCTTTCTTATCTTTCTTTTCTTTAAGTGATAATTCAGTTTCCCAGATTCCTCTGGTTAGCCAGTTATCAGAATCATTTGACTGGATGAGGTAATATGCTTCACTGGTGCATATTCAAAAAGGGCTTTAAAAGGTCTAAACATCCGTGGACACTGGCACCAAAAAAGCTCAGGTGTTTCGATGACGTAACCACCAAATAAAATAAATTATTTTATATATTCATCGGAGATAAACGTCGTCGCAATAGGGCCATATAATGACGAGTATCCAAAGAGACACCAACAGAACGAAAAAGATAGAAAGAGTAGGTAGGAAAAAACCCAAAAAAGAATTAGAGGGTTTCAATGGGGGTTGCAGATCTATATTGGTCTTTTCAGTGTCCTCTGGAAGGTAGAAGACTCTGACGGGGGTGCAGCAATGGTCGTCTCTTACGATACATGCAGTGGGCTACATCAGCCCTATGATCGATTTCTCCAATTTCCCCCAGTGTACAGAAGAAACCAGCCTCAGTTCTGCACGGACTCCACATAAGTCACATCGTACGATTAATTAACCGAACCTGCACGGGTTACTGTTATGTTGGTATCTTCGGATTAAACCACAGGATTTAACACAGACGAATTCAATCAGGAACTCCACATTTATTAATGCTGCTCTCTTGCTTAACACTCATTGCTAAATCTCGTGTGTCAAGGGCGACAACTCTTATGGACGTTATGTATGTAAGGTGTCACTACAGTAAGTATCGATCATAGTAGAACACTACAGTTACGAAATAAACAAATATACCTACTTGTAAGACAGTAGACGGCAAACTGTAGAGATGATATTAAAGAGGTAGTAGAAACATTGCCGCTATAAACATCCAGGATCTCCACGTAAAATAGCCCAAAACTTTTGAAAATCCCGGCGTACAGTGTGGTGATGAGTGTGGTGGCTATGAAAAACATAACATTGATGTTAGGGTAATAAGCACACAATTTATGTGTGTATGAATATCAATCCCCTATATGTTATATAAGAAGTAGGGCACAGCAAGTCTAATCTTGATTTCTCCTTTGGGGCCTTTTGAGAAACGAAGAAACGGCCTGCTGTATCAACAGCATTTGTATCGTTAAACATCGTCTAATACGGCAATCCCTGCAATATCATCGATTTTGTAAGAAATCAAATTCTTGTTGCCCCTATAGTTACACTTAAAATAAATAAAAACTACTTTGAACACTCCGCATGCTTCTTCTTAATGCATAATAAATGACTTTCACGGTAATAGCTGTTGGTGTTACACATTAAATAAAACGTTTTACAGCGGAAATATGAATATTCATTCATGTATCTCGTTTAGTTGGCATAAAAACAGAAATACCTGTAGTAATAATAGAGTGCAATAACATATTTCTTAAAGATGATATACCAGCGTAATCGTACAATACACATACATGTAGACTGTATATACAACTTAACAGTCCTATACTGAATTATAAAGGTTTTCTTTTCGTATGATTTATATATCAACAGGTTTACCTGTTCGTATAAAATTGATATAAAAATTGCATACCAGCAAGAATGACCCACGCCCATCCACGGTCAACAGGAAGTTCATATGCATGTATGATGTCGATTTCAGTGTCTTCGGGTCTAGTTCTCGTTCCCATGTCGTCATGGTCAGGGTCCGTCATAGTGTTCGCGGCACTGCCGTATCAACAGCTGAATATAAAATCAATAAGAAACTACAGAAATGTCATCAGAATCGTCATTCTAGCTCAAAATCGAGAACGTTACTGAAGTCCTCCGTCTGGGGACACAGAGGTATCAAAATATATCTGCTTGCATGTATTACTATATTTGAGTTTCCCTTTGCCTTTCGTTGCAATACCTCACGTTTAGCCTTAATGTCAAACGTTCGCCTAAGTGAGGAAGGCAATTGGTTTTTTCTCCAGACCAGGGCTTGTATTCAAGAAACCGTTCTCGTACTCAAGTATGGATTTTGTGCTCAAGCCTAATTTCTTGTTCTGGTTATAAGCTGATAAACAAATATTATTTTGCCAATGATTTTGAAAAAATATAAAGGAGACTTCAAGCCAAATACTGTTTTCAATGTTTACATTTGACTTTTTGATCGTTTGACATGCTTCAAGTGTTTAAAGAAAGTTGGTTTGAGCACAGAATCCATCATTGAGCATGAGAACGGCTTCATGAATACAGACACGGGACTTACCAAGTCCTTAAACATGGTAGTTGTTATTCCCTGTTTCACGTTCAGAAATGCGGCAACACTGGTTCACCCGTTGTCGGTATAATGTAACCGAGTGGAATTCTATACTTATGGCCTTTGCATGGTATTTCGGAGAGGTGACTATTTAAAATCGGCAGCAGTATCTGTATTTAATTGCAATGTTGCTCGATTATAATTTTACAGGTCTTTTATAAAACCTTTTTGATCAGGTAAATCTAAGCGAAAAAAATAACAATTCTTAACATTACTATTAGCATTTTTTTTTTGAAAGCATGTTTGGATCTAAATTATTTGGAACATTTCTATAATCTTTGATAAATAATCTGCACGGGTTAACTGTACACAATAGCCGGAATAAAAAAAAAACATATAAGAAATAGACAGAACGTACAGAGAAACATTTGGATATACAAGAAAACAACGTAATGATTTTTTTAGATACTTGAGTAGATCCGTGCTATCACAAGGAGACAAACACGAACATATCGCACACCGGGGAGGCCGTCCTTAAATGACCATAGCTGTTGATAGGACGTTAAACAATACTTAACCAAACCAAACCAAACTTGAGTATATGTTTATTTCCGATAAACGTCATCTTCATCGCAACAGAAACAGCAAAGGTCATATGAAGACAGATGCCAAGGAATACAACAAAACCGACAGTAAGAGAAGATAGAGAATCCAAGTGTTGAAGCAACTCAGTTTTTGTTTCTTATCTCTTTCGATGTCCACTTAAACAGAAAACACAGAAAAAACAAAACCCTGATTCGCCAAGGGCCTCACATAACCCCCCATTTTACGGCATGAATTAGAGAGTGTGTGTGTGTGTGTGTTTGTGTGTTGGCAGGCCTACTTAACGAATCTGAAGGGATGATTTTTAAGTAAACTAACTTCAGAAAAATGGGACTATGTTTTCAGCTTTGTCGACAATGAGAAAACTAAAATCGATCTACTGATACCTACTTATTAATTATTGAATGGGCTATTTAGTCAAATAACCCCCTAGAAATCGAGTAGATATTGAACATATTTATCTCCAAACGAAAGGTTACGTAGTTGATAATGACATGACCTGAATACAACGTCAAGTGTGGTCAGTTTTATCATTTGGAAAAGCCGGTGATAAAATTAGCTACGACCGAAATAGCGCAATCCATACACAGTACCACGCTGTCCACCGACAACACTGTGTCAGTTAAGAGTCTGATAGCACATTTTTGTTGCTTTGAATTTACACAATATATCGCAAGCAAGACCAATACGTAGGGTAATATATAAATCTAATGAGATATTTCTGTTCATAGTCGGGTTTGAATAAAAAGAACCATTTTTAGAGTATTCACGCACTGAGAGCGTACCGCAGGGAGAATTTCAAAACGCACGTAGTGCGATGTCAAAAGGTGTATACGTTAAAAAGGTAACTCGTGTATAAGGATGTTGGTTTAGAAGATGTTTTTGATTCAGAATAAATGCCGGTGCTTGTATTCCAAAGAAGTTAGGTACATAAAGCGAGAATTCCCCTTCTCCCCTCGACTGGAGACATTTTTGTTAACTAGAATTTCACCGACAGCTGCCGCTAAAACGTTTCCAAAATAATGACATGAATGACATTAATGCAAAGAAAGATATTTCCCTTATTTGGCCCCGCCAATCTGCCCCCAGAGGGCACACCTACCGTTTATACAAAAGTGAGTCCCGTTTGCCCAAGGATGCTCATGACCAAATTGGGATAAACTCCCTTAATCCCTATGGTAGAAGGTGGATTTCAAAGGGTTTTACCTCCATTTCCCCTATTTGGCCCCAACTCTCTATCCCCAGGGGGTCCATATCAACCATTTATTCAAAATTGAGTCCACTTGGCCCAAGCATGCCCCAGAATAAATTGGGATGAAATCCCTAAATCCCTTTGGTAGAAGATGGATTTTAAAGATTTACCTCTATTTCTCCTATTTGGCCCCGTCCCTCTGCCCCAAGGGGGGCCACACCCACATTTTATACAAAATGGAGTACCCTTGGCCCAAGGATGATTCAGGCCAAACAAGGATTAACTCCCTAAATCCTTGTGTTAGAAGAAGGATTTTAAAGACACACCCACTGTTTATACATAATTGAGTCTTTAGTCGAAATATAATGGGTCGTTCCGGACTAGTAGCTTTTCAAAGGAAAAGTTGACGGACGGAGTGACGGACGACGGATGCTGCGGTACGGCATAAGCTCACCATGGTTCTGCGGACCAAGTGAGCTAAAAGAACGACTGAACAAATAGGAGTATTACAACTATAGCACCCTTGTCATTAAACAAAACAAATGTAATAAGGTTTTTGTATATACAGTGTCACAGTCAAACGTGATTGGTACATGTAGTAAAAAACAAAAAAAATATTCATGACCCAATTAAGCATTGAACTGCTTTTGTATGGTATTTATGATCTATTTGAATGACACAGCTTTGCAAGCTAGCGCATTATGAGTTGTTTGCTTGCAAAGCTGTGTCATTCAAGTAGATCATAAATACCAAACAAAAACAGTTCAATGCTTATACTTACGTTTTCTCTGCCTCTTATGTTCTTTTTTAACTTATAATTTATAATTAAAATATAAAAATGCCGGCCTTATTGACAGTCCACACAATTTCGTTCAATAGTTTGAACAGCGTATTGTCGCGTGCTGATTGGCGAACAAAGTGGTACTTTGAAATTTTAACAAACACTTCAATTTTAATCCATAATTCAATATCAATACAATAGCGTATGATATGTCTATAGGGTGATTTAAGTTTATCAAAAGAACTCTGAGCTGAAAGTAAGATTTCAAATTGTTTGGATTTTTCCCCGGAACATATTTCGCGCAAGGACAAATACAGTGAACACCGTAAATCTGACCTTGCCCTCCACGAGAGAGTTATTTTTGGAAGTTAATTCGAAGTTTTCTCTTTGCTCATTTTGTGAAGAATCCAGGCGTGAATTTATTTGTTGATTGTATGGGAACCTTACAACAGTCGGTAGATTCTATAACGGCCTCGTTATTTGACATGTCGTCAGAAATCAGGAACCGTGGATGCGAGACGCGTGAAACTGATAGCGTTTGAAGTGAGTGATCTTGCGACGGAGCACAGGTTCGTTACAAAATGTCTGAAATGTTTATGTGTGCTGTGACTCATATCAGTAGGTTTGTAACATATGTGTCAGTAGGTCTATAGAATATGTGTATATCAGACATTTATAACGAACCCCTGTTGATTAGTGCAGTGTAGCAGACGATATTTCTGATAAATTGCATGAGCGTTAAAATTGTTTCCATTGCCGGCATTGGTGATTTCAACCGATGTGCGATATTGCAGACCTTGGTCTTGTTTTCGTTGTAATAAAAGTGTTTTTTTATTTTATTTTTTATTTTGCACGTAAATTTACAATGACGTTGTCAAATCTCACATATTTCAGCAGCCGTCTTGTTTATTTATATTGGATATTGTAGTTCCGGTCAGTGTTGTATTAATACGCTAAGAATTATGTCTTGTGATGCATGGTAATTAAAGTCCCATCAACGACACAGCTTTCAAAGAGGCTATATAGTGACATTGCCATGCAAATGTAAATATTATGTAAATGAATACCTTTCTCTAAACAAATTTAAAGTTGATGAAAGTAGCGTTAAATATGATAAAATAAAAAACGTAAAGAACACTAATGAGCACAATACACACGTTGACATTCATATTGAACAGAGAGATTAAATATTTCCCAACGAGATCCTCGGGGCGACCACAATTTGCCTGTAGTTCTCACCGACCTACGTCTCTCACAACCCGTTGTTTTTTAAGTTTGGCCGTCAGCATTCAACATTTATCATGAAAAAAATGACGTTCTCAACAATCCCTTTAAAAACAAATTATATACGAGTTGTTAACAAAAGGGGACTGGGATGTAGGTATGTTACTATCCCGTAATGAGAAGTTCATAATCGGAAAATCTTGTCGCCCTTGTTAGTGATGCTGTAAATAAGATAAAGCAAGCGGCTGATGTAAACGGATCTGTATTGTGTTTATACGACATAAGTTTTGTGACTTAAAGAAAAGCACATTGTCAATATAATTGCTACCTGTCTAGATTAAAGTTAAGCATCATATGAAAACGAACTAAAATTGTACAAAGACTTATTCTACCGTCACTTCATCTGTATCTGAGGAGAAAATCTGGAGTGACTAGAAATGACCTTACCGATAAGTCAATTCCAAAAGAATTATTTTTTACACTATGTCTGTCACAGTGTAAAAAATGTGATAAAATTGGAAACATTAATACGTCTGTAATCACTTCAATTAGCATGACGGAGATATACGAACAGTTTCTGTTTCTGGAAAACAATAACTCTCGATGCTTTGCATTCATAACATTCTGATGTATTTCGTTCCGTCTACTTTAACACTGTCCACACTAGATCGTTGCTGTATGCTATTTCATTCCAGTTC